TATTTTTTCCAAAGTCTGTAACAGATTCACAGTCCTTTGCAGCTGAGCAGAATTTTGTTCCTTGCAACCCGGCGGTTGCCCAGTTGCTACCATTTCCTCACATAGATCTGGATTTGAGACATAACCTAGTTCTGTAGGAGCTCAAATTTCAGGCCAAGCAAGAGCCTCCAGAAGTGATAGAGGATCATTCAGCTAGGTCCATTTCTACATCTTTCAGTTCAGGGCAGTGCATGCAAACTGTGTATGGAGACATCTGCAAAGCAGCAGGCTGGTTGCCGCAGTGCATCTGATTATAAATGTTTAGCCCTTCCAGTTTAGGTTGTTATTTATCACATGTATGCTGCCATGTTGGTGTCAGTAAAACGGAAAATTGTATCAAGTACTTTCCGTAATTTTCCTTTCCTGACGCAAATCCATGACAGCATACTAACCCTCCCTTTTCTTTTCATCTTGCTATTTTTACAAAGAGAATGAGGGAGGTTGCTCATGCTTTTCTTTTATAGGTTTAAACAGGTCCTGTGGATGCATATAGGGGCAGAGCTATATCACATGTATGCTGCCATGGACCGGCATCAAGAAAGGAGAATTATTATTTTTTATTATTATACAGTGTTTATATAGCGCCAAAAAGTTTGCTCAGCGCTTTACAATATAGTGGGGGACAGTACATGAGACAATACAGTAACAAAACAATATACGAGAGGTTCAAGGGCCCTGCTCTTTCGAATTACAGTAAGTATTTGATACATTTTCCCATTTGTTTGCTTTCCATTCACTAATTATGGGGAATGGTTAAGTGTTTGCAGGTGTGATTTAAGCAACTGCACTGCTCACGGAGCTTGGTCACGGAGGATTGCAATAGGTGAAGTTAAAACAAGGTACATCAGCTCTGCTGGTGACGGGCCTGGTTTCTATATGTAATATGGCTCTCCTAAGAGGCCATCACAGCAGAGGCATAGGGCTCCAAACATTTGTTCCCAAAGCTTCTATGGCGGTATCCACATTTAGTGATTTTATCCATAGTGACATGGTTTCACAAATCAAAGTCACCACCAACAGAGGACACAGAGTCAGTCCAGTTAATTTAAACTGAAACCCACTAGGTCAGTGAAATTTCAAAAGGTAAGAACAACAACCTGGAGCAGTGGTTCTCAACCTTTCTAATGCCGCGACCCCTTAATACAGTTCCTCATGTTGTGGTGACCCCCAACCATAAAATTATTTTCGTTGCTACTTCATAACTGTAATTTTGCAGTGGGAGGACTAGCGCCCCATCACTGATGTCGGTGGGATGAATAGTGTCCCATCGTTGCTATCAGTGGGATGAATAGTGCCCCATCGTTGGTGTCAGTGGGAGGAATAGTGTCCCATCGTTGGTGTCAGTGGGAGGAATAGTGTCCCATCATTGGTGTCAGTGGGAGGAATAGTGCCCCATCATTGGTGTCAGTGGGAGGAATAGTGCCCCATCATTGGTGTCAGTGGGAGGAATAGTGCCCCATCATTGGTGTCAGTGGGAGAAATAGTGCCCCATCATTGGTGTCAGTGGGAGAAATAGTGCCCCATCATTGGTATCAGTGGGAGGAATAGTGCCCCATCATTGGCATTAGTGGGAGGAATAGTGTCCCATCATTGGTATCAGTGGGAGGAATAGTGCCCCATCATTGGTATCAGTGGGAGGAATAGTGCCCCATCATTGGTGTCAGTGGGAGAAATAGTGCCCCATCATTGGTGTCAGTGGGAGGAATAGTGCCCCATCATTGGCATTAGTGGGAGGAATAGTGCCCCATCATTGGCATTAGTGGGAGGAATAGTGTCCCATCATTGGTATCAGTGGGAGGAATAGTGCCCCATCATTGGTGTCAGTGGGAGGAATAGTGCCCCATCATTGGTATCAGTGGGAGGAATAGTGCCCCATCATTGGTGTCAGTGGGAGGAATAGTGCCCCATCATTGGTGTCAGTGGGAGGAATAGTGCCCCATCATTGGTGTCAGTGGGGGAATAGTGCCCCATCATTGGCGTCAGTGGGATGAATAGTGCCCAATCATTGGCGTCAGTGGGAGGAATAGTGCCCAATCATTGGCGTCAGTGGGAGGAATAGTGCCCAATCATTGGCGTCAGTGGGAGGAATACTGCCCCATCGTGGGTGTCAGTGGGAGGAATAGTGCCCCATCGTGGGTGTCAGTGGGAGGAATAGTGCCCCATCGTGGGTGTCAATGGGAGGAATAGTGCCCCATTGTGGGTGTCAGTGGGAGGAATAGTGCCCCATTGTGGGTGTCAGTGGGAGGAATAGTGCCCCATTGTGGGTTTCAGTGGGAGGAATAGTGCCTCATTGTGGGTGTCAGTGGGAGGAATAGTGCCCCATCATGTGGTGTCAGTGGGAGGAATAGTGCCCCATCATTGGTGTCAGTGGGAGGAATAGTGCCCCATTCATTGGTGTCAGTGGGAGGAATAGTGCCCCATCATTGGTGTCAGTGGGAGGAATAGTGCCCCATCATTGGTGCCAGTGGGAGGAGGAATAGTGCCCCATCGTTTGTGTCAGTGGGAGGAGGAATAGTGCCCCATCGTTTGTGTCAGTGGGGGGAGGAATAGTGCCCCATCGTTGGTATTAGTGACACAAATGATGGGGCACTATCCCTTCCACTGACACCAATGATACTTACCTTGCTGACTCCTGCTCCAGCCTGGGCTCGCTCTCTCCCTCTCCCTTCTACAGCCTGCATACCTGGCTGCTGCAGCAAAATTTGCACTTACCTGTCAGCTGTCTTCCTTCTCTGGCCTCTCTCTTCACTCGCTCCTGCAGCTCCCTCGATCTTCTTCGATCTCCGCGCACTGCCGCTCGGCTCCTCCTCTCCAAGCTCCACCTCCTCGCCGGTGATTGGCCGCCTGTGTGCCTCTCCTGAGCTAGTTCCGGTGGCCAATCAGCGGCGAGGAGGCGGAGCTGTTGAGTGATCCCGGAGGTGTGGCCAGGTTACAGGGGCAGCATATCATCCCGCCCACAGATCGCCTGAGACAGGAGCGGTGTCTCGGTTCCTAAGACCATCGGAAATATGTGTTTTCCGATGGTCTTAGGCGACCCCTGTGAAATGGTCGTTCGACCCCCAAAGGGGTCGCGACCCCCAGGTTGAGAACCGCTGACCTGGAGGGTCTACAGTGGGCAAAGACTACTAGGCAATAATTTTCTTTTCAAATGGAAAAAGCTCCTTCACATTGTTGGGAGGAGATTAGGAGAATAGGTTGTTTCCAGTGCTCATAGAGGAATGTTTTAAATACCAAGTATACTGGGAATGTCTGTGGAGCTCTAAGAGCCCTAAAAGACCCTAGGTCTAGAACAGCAGGCTGATCCTCCAAATTCAGTGTACTGTATTCTGCATTAGTCAAGTTAGAAACAACCCCTTGTAAATCTGATTCATATTGAATTTGCTCATAACCACCACTGCAGGAGTCCGCTGTGAGGAATCTGAATCAGATATGGCAATTAGCACCTCAGGTTCACTTATTGATGGGGGCCCAGTAGTCAGAGTTAAGCCAGCCATACATGGATAAAAAAGGGGCAAGAAGGGAACAGTGGAATGTTGATCCATGTATGGGCAGGCTGGTTGTAGACAAGTTGTCAATTGACTTTTTTGTACAACCAGCCTGTCAGGTTTTTGCTGAACAATCAGTGCCGCCAGCTATAGCTGACATCTGAACAGTGGGACCCTGTTGCTGTATTTCTGGGACTGGTGAGAAGATACTGCTGCCATTAACCTGTGGCTGCTAGCAGAGATTAGGCACATAAGGACTGGCCATCTAACCAACAGAATTATGTACTGCGTGCAGACTTTACTGGCACTGTACTAATGTGCTTCACCATAAAGACTGGGCCCCAGCGCTAGCAGGCTGAAGAACTAGGGCTAAAGACTGCTCACCCAGATAGTTTCTACACAAGAAGTTTGCCTATTTTCCATAGTAAGAGGTACCCCTTTAGGTAATCTTACATTTCATTGCTGACATTCATATATAGAGTGCACTCTAAAGTGGTTATAGCCTGTTTACAGAGGTGTTATTGCAATATTGATTTTCATTGCTGTTTAATATTTTCTAATTTCAATACTTATTGCTGATTTTGTGGATTACCAGGTTTACTCCAATCTAGTTGCATAGAACTCCATTCTATGCTGCTATAGCCCAGTGAACATGTGATTTAACCTGATTGTTTACTCACCAATTTATGTGCATACTGCTATTTACTGCAACCCATGACAACATATTGGGTTTATTTACTACTAATCAGTCTGGTGTTTTGCTTTTTGATACTGAACCTAATTTGTATGTAGGGTGTCTATATTTGTGCTCCCAATAGCAGTGCAGTATCCGTTTGCTTAACCTGGTGTGTCGGTGGGACTGTTCTCAGCAGAAGAACAGAGGACCCAGTCTATGATATGGCTCCTGCAGGAGTAGCGCTACCAGACGAAAAAGAATAAGAATACAAAGTCTAGCAGAACTGAAGAAAAGGCATTCGTTCTCTTATGACACTAGCAAATAGCAGAGGCATTATGGTTAGAGATGGAAGTTACAGTATATGGGTGGCTTAAAGTATTTCTTGCTTCCTAGTGTCACAATATCCTGTAGGTGGCTGTATAAAGAAATAAAACCATTTTTTTTGCAGTCTGTGGCCCATTTGGGATAGATTTTCCTCACTATCTGTTGGAACATAAATTATTATTATTATTACACAGGATTTATATAGTGCCAACAGTTTGCGCAGCAGTTTACAACATGAGGGCGTATACTACAATTACAATACAATTTAATACAGTAGGAAACAGAGGCCCTGCTCATTAGAGCCTAAAGTGATGGAAAATATCTCCATTGTGGACACACAGGCTGCAACAAAATTATTTTTATTTTTTAACCACTTCCCGTCCGCCCTTTAGCAGAAATACTGCTATAGGGCGGCACGGGTGTGCAAAATCATGTGTGTATATATACGTGATTTTGCATTTCCGAGTAAGGGGTGCACGCCCTACCTGCGCCGCAATTCGCGGCCACGGTTGTCAATCACCGTATCCTGGCTGGTAATTACCCGCCGGCCCCTGGTGATTTCCAAAGATCTCCGATGGGGAGGAAGACTGTTTTGTTTACTAACAGTTCTCCTTCCTGTCAGCTTGGGTACACTGCTCTGGATAGCTGTGCACAGCACAGCCATCCAGAGCAGTGTGATTTCAGTGAAGCACACTGATACAGCCCCCTAGTAAAACACTCCCTGCACACAGTTAACCCTTTGATCACCACTCATGTTAACCCCTACCTGCCCAGTGCCATTAGTACAGTGTCAGTGCTTTTTTCTTAGCACTGATCACTGTATTGGCGTCACTAGGGGTGGCAGTGACACCAAGTCAGTTCCCTCCAGTGTCAGAATGTCCACCGTAGTCCCGCTATAAGTCGCTGATTGCTGCCATTACTAGTAAAAATAAAAGAAAATTCCAGTATATATACCACCATTTGTAAATGCTATAACTTTCACGTAACCAATTTTTTTTTTTTAGCAAAGACATGTAGCAGAATACATTTTGGTGTAAATTTATGACTAAATTAGATTTTTTACATTGTTTTTACTGGACATGTTTAATAGCAAAAACATATTGTTGTTTTTCTCAAAATTGGCAGCCTTTTTAAAAGACTTTTTTTTTTTTTAAAGTGCAAAAAATAAAAAAAAATGCACAGGCATTCAAATACCACCAAAAGAAAGCTCAATTTATGGGAAAAAAGGACGTAAATTTGATTTGGGTGCAGCGTTGCATGATTGCGCAATTGTCAAAGTAATGTAGTGCCGAAACACAAAAAAACGGCCTGGTCAGGAAGGGGGGTAAATCCTCAGGAGGGCAAGAGGTTAAACTAGGGAAGGGTTACAACCTCTGCCAAGTTATTCTTACTGTATATCTTCCTGTCCCTGTAACAAACTCTCACGTCACGTCCTGCTGTCATAGGAACAGGAAGTGGGCTGATATCTCTCCAACAGGGTAAGGCCTCATGCATACCTTTGCATTCCGGGAACACACGCAGTACCAGGCATTTCTGCATGTGTTTCTGGAATGTACAGAAAAGTGCAACGTGCTTGCGGTGACCTTATTTCTTAATGTCACCCCAAATGAGGCAAGGAAACAGGCTAAAATGTGCGTTAAACAAAAACGGCAGCCCTTTCAAGTGCATGGTTGCCCTACACTGTCACATGGAAAACGTGAGACAAAATGCGCTAATACATGTTGTCCAGGTGTGAATGGTGGCTAATTGACAGCAATACAAGTTTAACAGAAATATTTATTTAATAAAAAAAAGTTTTGGCTGGAGTTGCTATAATACTGGTGGAGAAGGATCTGGGAGTTCTGGTAGATCACAAACTTAATAATGGCATGCAATGCCAAGCTGCGGTTTCTAAAGCGAGCAAAATCCTCTCGTATTAAAAGAGGTATGGACTCCAGAGAGAGAGATATCATATTACCCTGGTACAAATCTTTAGTAACACCTCATCTGGGATATGCAGTTCAGTTTTTGGGCACCAATTCACAAAAAGAACATTGGGGAACTGGAGAAAGTACAAAGAAGGGCAACCAAACTGATAGGAGCATGGAGGAGCTCAGCTATGAGGAAAGATTAGAGGAACTGAATTTATTCTCTCTTGAGAAGAGGAGATTAAGGGGAGATATGATCAACATGTATAAATACATCAGTGGTTCATATAATGAACTCGGTGTAGAGTTATTCACCCTGAGGTCATCACAGAGGACAAGGGGGCACTCTTTACGTCTGGAGGAAAAGAGATTTAATCTCCAAACACTGAAAGGTTTCTTCACAGTGAGAGCTGTGAAAATGTGGAATAGACTCCCTCAAGAGTTGGTTCTGGCCAGCTCAGTGGATTGCTTTAAAAAAGGCCTGGATTCTTTCTTAGATACACAGAATATAACTGGATATAACATTTATAGGTAAAGTTGATCCAGGGAATATTCGATTGCCTCTCGGGGGATCAGGAAGGATTTTTTTTCCCCTGCAGGAGCAAATTGGATCATGCTTTGCTGGGTTTTTTTTTTTTGTCTTCCTCTCGATCAACTGTGGGTATAGGATTATAACTTTTTTTTTTTTTTTTTAAATGGTTGAACTGGATGGACTTTTGTCTTTTTTCAGCCAGACTAACTATGTATGTAACTTTTGAATCAATGACCTAGAACCAGAATGCAGATTGGTACTTTTCTCTCATTTGCACTGTTGCACATGTGATTTAAAGCAGGGGTCTCCAAATCTTCTAAACAAAGGGCTAGTTTACTTTCCTTCAGATTTTAGGGGTGCCGAACTGTGGCCATTGGCAGTCAAAAAGGTCCCAACGTCAGTGGAAAAAAAATGCCCCATCTTTGGTGTCAGTGGAAAGAACAGTGCCCTATCGTTTATTGTCATTGGAAGAAATTGTGTCCCTTCATTGGTGTCAGTGGGCGGGGAATAATGGCCCATTGTTGGTATCAGTGGATGAAATAGTTCTCCAAGGGCTGGATAAAAGCAAGCAAAGGGCCGCATCTGGCCCTGGGGCCACAGTTTGGAGACCACTAATTTAAAGTATAATGAAGCAAATGCATCAACATAACACAACAGCCAAGGAACTAGCATTTGCAGAAGAAGATTAGCAATGACTTCCCCTGTATTTGTTTGACAGTTGTATATGCAGTGTATATATGGTGTTTAAAGGAGGTGATCCCAGTTTTTGTTGCATGAACAGTAAGCAGCCAGGGTGCTGTCAACAAGAGGGTATACACAGGGCTGGCAAGGAGTAACAAGAACAATATTGTTGAAAAATAAACTGCATGTTCTTTTCCAATATTTCATGCAAGACCTCTGTACGCCCTATGAGCTCCATACTATATATACTGTATATATGTTATTGGTAATACAATTGATGATCATGTCCTTCTTTTTTTTTTTTTTTAATAGTTTGGGGGCAAAGAGATCCTGGATCTTGGAATAACTAGGGTGCGAAATCAAAACTCTATACCAAAGGTAAGTGCTATTGTACCTTGGATTTACAATCTATAGTATCCCACAGATAAAATGGAATTTTTGTGGTCACCGTAACCACTTTCTCAGAGTCTATTGAGGGACACAGTACTTCATGTTCAAGAACCATGCCTTATACTGCTTATACTGCTGCCTACATGAGGATTGGAGACTAGGCACAAAATCTGGAAGTCCTCCCCAAGGGGCTATCACCTCTCCCATAACTCTACTCTGTTGTAAAACCAACACAACAAAACACAGGAGCATCAGATCATACTACTTATTAAATGGCAATACAAAAGAATCCAAGCACAGTGGCACAAATCCGCATGAAGTATTTACCTAGGACCAACATCACAGACCTATTCAGGAGGTTCCCAATAAATGCCAGCAAGGCAGTGGCGTCCCGAGGCAGGTTCGGGGGGTGACACAGACTGCACGGGGTGACACCGTACCCGCTCCACGAAAAGGTAAGTTGTAAAGCAAGCCGAGGTTTCCCGCAGGATAGATCCAAACCATCCTGCAGGGATTGTCCGCTTTCTTTACAACTTACCTTATTGTGGAGCGGGTCCGGTGTCACCCCGTATAGGTTGCATGCCGACGATCCCCGCAGGATGGATCGGATCTGTGGATTGGGAGAGCATAATGGATCGGACTCAAAATCCATACCAGACCCAAAGGGCTTGGTATGGATGGGAGGGGGGACCCCATGCCGTTTTTTTTTATTTATTATGGTGCCGGTTTTTAAATGTAATTACCGTTTTTTTTTTTTCTTCAGTATAGCTCAGAGATTCAGTTGTACTTTCCCCGCAGCTAAAAGAGAGTTTCTTTTTAATTTATTTCCTCAAGTTAAAAGAAACAATGTTTCCTTTTAGTTTCTTAAAATAAACAAAGCTTCCTTTAACTCCGGGGAAAGTGACAGCTAATTCTGTGAGCTATAGTGAAGAAAAAAAAAAAAAAAAGCCCGCAATTGCATTTAACAATCGGCACCGACATACAATTTGTATTGCGAAAAAATTTAAAAAAAGTTTGTTTGTAAACCGAGGCATTATTTTCAATGGATTTTCATTCGTAAACCGAAAATTATGTTAACCGAGGCGTTTTGTAAACTGAGGTACACCTGTATTATAAAGATGTAAAGCGTATTATCTAATAAAACTCGCAAATAACTACAGTACATCAGCATTGAGAATATGCACTATATTGTCAAGTGTATTGGGAGCCTGCCTTTACACAGACATGAACTTTAATGGCATCCCAGTCTTAGTCCTTAGGGTTCAATATTGCGTTGGCCCACCCTTTGCATCTACTGTATAACAGCTTCAACTCTTCTGAGAAGGCTGTCCACAAGGTTTAGGACTGTGTCTATGGGAAGGTTTGACCATTCTTCCAGAAGTGCAAATACAAAGAGAAAATGATGTGGTGCTACTGCAACTAATATGTGCAATATTGCATATATGTGGAAGATATAAACCACATAAATATCAAAATAAAAAATAATATAAATATAATAATAAATATGTAATATATAACATATACAATATGAACCTCCCAAGTGCTTCCTACAATGTGAATATGATCTATATAAGATCAAAACAAGTAAAAAGAAATAAATAAGAAATATACACAAGAAGTGATCAGAATAATTCACACAAATGTGTGTGTGCACATAAATATGATATATCTGTAGTGGTGAAAAAAAAACAAATGGCCATAACAGGACTAATGTGCCCAATTGATCCTAATAGGATCTATATGTGATAGTGAACCATCCAACTAGTCCAAATGGGACTACAATATCTACTGTGCTCCAAAGAAACAAATAGTGAAAAACGCATGAAGTGTCAAGCAAATAATGAAAAAAACGCATGAATTGTCATGCATCAAGAAATGCTCCCCTATAACAGACAAATAATTCAAATGAATTATCAAACAATATTCAAAGACCAACACATACAGTTGTGTTCAAAATAATAGCAGTCAGACATCACTAACCTGATCAATCACTGTTTTTGGTAGAAATGATATTTCTACATGGCAAATAATTTACTAGCAGGTGTAGTAGAATAATAGAAATCCAACAGACCCAACAGTCATGACATGTATGCTGCTGATTCTGTGTAATTGAATCACTAATTGAAAGGGGCATGTTCAAAATAACAGCAGTGTGGAGTTCTATTAGTGAGGTTGTTCATTCTTTGAAAATCAGGTGGCAATTATTGCCCTTATTTAAGGAAGGAAGGCAGCAAATGTTGTACATGCTGGTTACAGTGCATTTCTCTCTGAAATTCTGAGGAAAATGGGTCATTCCAGACATTGTTCAGAAGAACAGCGTACCTTGATTAAAAAGTTGATTGGAGAGGGGAAAACATATAAAGAAGTGCAGAAAATGATAGGCTGCTCAGCTAAAA